GATTGAAATATTATTTAATGCTTCTTAGGTGAAATAAGAATTTGAAGTTTTTACGTAATTGTTGAAGGATCATGAAATTATTAATACTAATGGGAGATTTGTAGATCTTGTTTTGTTACAGTGGTAGGCTTGTATCGATTAGTCAATGATAATATTAAAAAGCATTTTAATATCCACTCATGAGCACATGAACGTCTTCCAATTTCAACATTTAAGTTTGAACTTCACATGAAATGTGTCTTTTGGAACATTCACAAAATATGATTATTTTAGTCATGAAGTTAAGCAAGTTTCAATTAAAATCAGGAAAATCCCAGGGAAAAGTCGATTTTGTACCGTTTTTAGGTGACGTGCATTTGGTTCATTTTACTGTAAAACAATTGAGTTCATTCAATTCTTCCGTTTGCTTTCGAACCATAATAATGTGCAATAAGAATAGTTTCGCCAATACATTGAGATTACAAATCAATGAAAACGCCAATTGTTCAATCCAAAAAAATATTTGTAGAAAGTCAAGTCATGGAACCTGCTTTTTGTTGCACTACTTATTTCTTAGATTATTCGTGCATCAATCGCTTTAATACACCTCAAGATAGCGAGCTTCCCAGATAAATTCGCACTCGGCTACGCGGATCGTGGCTGTATCAATAACTCCGCGCGGTCGTAAAGATCTGCCCCAGAGACCCCGACTCCGCTTCCGCCGCCCTGCGCCCTCAGCCCTCGCGAGAGACGGCGCTTCCATCGACCGCGCCCGCGGGCGGGTCCCCTTTAAGTGGCGCCCAGCCCCTTCGCCCTTCACTCTGCCCTCCACGGGACAGACTCGCCGCTGTTTTCAAGCGACACGCCGCTACTTTGGCCAGACTAATGTTACGCAAAAATGGAAATGACTTAGGCTTCGTTGTATTTTTTTCGAAGATGTTTTGTGTTTCGGATGCTCTCACTTCATTTACTTAGCAAAGTGCTACGAGATATTGCGAATAATTGAACATGGATGTTGTATATTATTTTATTTCTGTAGCTCAAAGTTGTCATTTTTAGCAGTTTACTTCCGAGATTTGTTATTTCAAGAGAGTCCAGAATGTTGTAATGGAAGGAGCAAAGTACTTATAGGACTTTGTACTACATTTTGAAGTCATGAAAGAAAAATATTATGAAATGCTGTTCTGCCTATTATTACAACAATATTTGATAACCTTTGAACTAAACCATAAAAAGTTGTACTACTTTGAACATTTATTACGGTGAATCCAAAGATATTATTCATCGACAAAATGTAAGAATGATGCGAGTTGCACGTACATGCTTCAGTGGTACTAAATTACTAATTAATTACTAAAGTAAGAAATTCTTTCATTTAAAAATAAAAAAAGTATTTTGAAACATAATCAACAATAATGAAATCGCTCTGTAAACCAAGACAAAAAACAAGAATACTTGTATATTTGTGTCGTCATTGAAAGAAATTTAATACACCTTAAATGGCTAAAACATTCCAAAATAACGACTCCACAGGAAATCAATAAAACAATCCGCAATGCGCCCTAAATGTAACAGATTATGTAGCAGTATCATTTCACATTATTGAATATTCACCACATGTCTCCTCTTTATTGTGAACTCCTGGCAAAAATCCACAAAGAGTTTTGTAACAGTAAAACTGTTGTAATGGAGAAGCCCAGCAAATACGCACGTTTTACATGTAGCTCACATTTAACATGGTCTAATCGGACAACGTTATCGCTCGCGATGAACACGCATTACTTATCAGTACAGTGGCGTTCATAAAAAAATGTCAATTTTCTTGCGTTCGGGGGAAAGCTACGATTCGAATCTAGTGCGACGTATCCCAACTGGTTTTATATTACTTTTGCAACCAGAAAATATTAAACAGTTAGTAAAATACTGTACCATTGGTTTTCCATTCTCTTGGAGAGTTTCACTTTGTGCTACGATGAGAAACGCAGCTAGGATTGTTATGCATATCATCACGGCTGACGCAGTGTCTCTAACAACATGTTTTGCCGATGACTTTTATGTGTCACTTACGAAAATTTTATTAAACGTCTCTAACTGTACACTTCCCGTATGAAAACATTAGACTATTTCCCAACAAAAGGATGAGATATTTCACAAGCAAAATATCACAAAACCTCTTTCATTATTAGAACTAGGCACAGTTACTTTCACTGTTTTTGTCACATCGATTTCTATAAATGATATAGAAGTGTCATGCTTGAAACTGTCACATAAACTCCCACGTGGGTGGACACTGCGTCTTTGAGACATTCTTTCTCGACTTGGCGCAACCCCTTAGGAATCTTTGTTTGTCATTCCGCTTTCCTCCGACCTCCACCACTCCTCACGCATATCATTCACATACAAGCACACACACGCCGCATACCATCACGCGCCGGGCCACGCACGACGACACGCAGGAAAGGCGCGCGCGCGGTCGCGGCGGCGGGCGCCGAGTGCGCGCGACTGAGGGTCGCAGACGCACTCCACTGCGCGCGACTCGCCCGTCGAGAAGCTCCCTTTTAAAAAAATACACACACGTACGCACGGGAATAGACGCTTGTTCCGTTAGTGTTTTGCTATCGTGTTGAGCTATCTTATAAATGGGTAATGGCAAACTCGCCTATTTGCAGTTTATTTTCCGTAGGTCCACTGCAGCGTGTCCATGGCGTCATGCTCAACAGGGCTCGAGGTGCTATACCGGCGAGGGGCTGGTGGCGGTCGGACGGGCGAAAGAGGAACTTGTGAAAGGGCGCCGTGTGGGCCCTCGTCAAGACGCGCGCATGGGCGTCTGCGCCTTCGTACGCTTCGGGACTGCGTTCGGGGCGATCGGCGGCGGGGGCGAGGGGCGGGGGCGGTGGGGGCGGTGGTGTGTTGTGGTGTTGTTGGGGGCGGGGGCCCTGGTGGGGCGGGCGGCCCTCCGCGGTAGGAGAGGTGGCCGGGTGGTCGAGGTGGGGGCCGGCCCGGCGGGGCCGGGAGCGGGGGCGCGGGCGGGGGCGGAGCACGGCCAGCCGCATCAACATTGGGAGGCCCCCACTGGCGGCGCGAGGTCGCGAGCAGCGCCGCGGCCCGAGGGCCCAGCAAGCAGCGCCGGCCGGGGCAACGTCCGCTGCAACCGCCGCCACCCCGCCTTCCGCGCCCGCTGAGAATCCGCCGCCGCTAGCCGCCGTGCGGACCAGCTAGTCCTGCTTGTTTGCCTTGTTGTGCTGACATTGGCGCGGTGTACGCGCTGGGGGCAACAGCGCCGCGACTCGCGGATTAGGGACTGGCCACTCCTGCGTGGGGCGTCGCCGAGCGCTGAGCGACTGCTCGCCCGACCCCGAGTAGCCCAAGCGATATCCAGAAGCTATCGACAAGAAGTCGAGCACCTCTCGGTGACGAGCAAGCAACGCGACCCCCTATTCTCGGGATATGGAAAGCAGTCGCTCACTACTGGCTCAGTAATATAGTGTGACACTCCCTTCAAACCCAGATCACTGATCCACTTATTCTACATGTAGGATTCAACAGGTAAGCAAAACTTGACATGTCTGCTTCGTGCCGGCTACAGAAATACTGAGATCCATTATACGAGCAATCAAGGAGATAGCAACAGAAATGGATTTACAATTGCATTGTGCATTACTAGTTGTGCGAACTAAGTAGCTACGTGAACTAAGTAGCAGAGGCAATAAATTTACAACCATCGCGAGGTTGGTCAACGGCAGGCTTGACAACTTGCCCACCATCAGGTGTTAACGTGTGACCTCTATCACTTACTATCCCCTCACATTTACAACCGGCGCGAGGCAAGATCATTACGCTTCGTTTGCCTGTGAGTACCTTGAGGATGAGGATTTTGGATGGACGACGTCTTATTGGAGCATTTGTATCCCCAAACGGAGGGTTACCAAGTGAAATATTTCAACTGAACGATATTATCTTCAATAAACAGACGTTGGAGTTCACAGTATACGCTCAAATATAACTATCAAAATGTCACACTAAGAAACGAATTGACAGTTTAACTTTTCTAAGCGACAGGAGGATTCATTTCTCTTACTTTGGCAACTTCGGCTCAACAAATTTGGTTATGTCAGATTTTTTAATTTTAATGACCAGACGGATGCGTATTTTGGAATAATCGACAATTAAACACATTAAAACAAGATAAATTATAAAACTCTGGTCTACTTCTGTTAATAAAAAAGTCGCTTTGAAAATAGTATCCCTACGACATAGTAAATTAGATAATTCCGTTTCCTACATTTGCAACCACGTAAACCATTTATCTGAAACCCATTTAAATCCAGCCCTCCAGCAACTTATTAAGTGACCTTTTAAAAAAATTAAATATTGCAGGTGAAAAGGTAGTTCACCGGAGTTGTAAAACACAGCAAAACGTATAACTACTGTTAATTAACTTTATTTGATAGAAAATGTTAATTTTCTGTATATTGCATCGTATTATGCGATCAACCACACAAATACGTAATTATTGAAGAGACGTGCATTACTAAAATATAGTGATAATTATTGTATACACGATAAAATTATTAACATTCATAATTAATTGAATAAATACTGCAGCTGAAAGAAACGCGAAATTTGCGATGACTAACATTACGGTTTTGTAAATTTATTTTCAAATGCTTAAATTATAACTTTATTTGAAATAATTCCACAATCATTACTGATACAAAAGATCATGAATTGTAGTAAACCATTAGTTGGGACGTAGTTTCAACGTGTGACCAAATTCTATATGTGAAAGAAACATTTTGAGTAAAAATACAAACACAAGGGCGGCTGACATTTAAATAAAATATAACCACCCAAATAAGCACGATATATTGCAAAATGCTGTATTTGAAAACAACGGCAAAAAATGTAATACTTATGCCACAGATAAACAACAGAACGTAGTTGCACGCTGGGTCGAGAGTATATAGCCCATCCAATCGCCTTAAATTGACTTTTCAGGTTTCGTGACTTGAATGAAATTATTACGACCCGAATTCACGCATGGATGTAGCGTCGTATTGAAAGCAAACGCAGGCTCTGAGGCGGCGCTCACCGTTGAGCACGTGCACCATCACGCTGGCCGAGTCGGAGCTGGAGGGGCTGCAGGTGTAGTTGCCCGAGTCCTGCGGCAGCGCGCGCGAGATGAGCAGCCGCGAGGTGCGCGTCTGCTTCTCCGTGACGACGTTGATGCCGCCGCGCTGCGAGTAGTTGATGACCTGCGCGCCCTGGTACCAGTAGATGAAGGAGGGCGGCTCGGGTGTCTCCAGCACCACGCACGTCAGGTTGATGTCGGAGCCGCTCTTAATGTACAGCTCGGGGTTGCCCAGGATCTTCGCCTTGGACACTGCAGTGGACACAGACAGACACTATAATAGCATCCCGCGCTCGCCTCGGGAGAGACGCGCGCGAGGGGCGGCCGGACACGTGAGCAGGGGCGGGGGGCGGTGGGCGGGGGGGAGGCGGGGGGGGGGCAGGCAGAGGCTCTGGGGGCTGCCCTGGTGCCTTGCTCCATTAGGGGGGGGGGTAACGAGCACAGAAAAATCTCATGCTCAGAAACTCCTCAAGTAGACGTCCCGGAGGAGGACAGGTTTCAAGTTGTGGCAAATTTCAAAAAGTAAAATATTTCAAAAAGTGACACGTTTTCTGAAGTAGAGAGTGTGTCAAGTTCAAAGAAGTGGGAAGTTCCAAAAGGTGGAAATTTTCAATAAATGTCGTGTTTTAAAAAGGGGAAAGCTTCAAGAAGATGCAAGCTTCAAGAAGTGACGTGTTTCAAGCTGCTGCATGTTTCAAAAAGGAACAAGTTTACTGAGGAGATGAATTTCATGAAGTGATAAGTTTCAAGACAAAACGCATAGCCTTCTAATTTCATGAGAAATCCCTCTACAAAAGAAACTAGTATAATCAAATAATTATTGATGAAATAGATTTGTTAAATGGAAATTAATTACTTCTATGTGACAAGTCGCCTGAGGGGCAAACAAAACATTAAGGTTTACTAGTTCGTTGCTGAATCTAACGAGAAAACGAAACATTTAATATTTTTTAATGCGTTTAAATGAAAAATACCCATTGTAATCGTGATTTGTCAATATGACGTCAGATAAATAAAAAAATATGTATCTAATTACTTCTGCATACTCGTTGTTGGCCTGATATGTTCGTAAAAAACGAAAGAATAGAAGAAAGATAGAAGTGTATCTTCCAAGGTTCCAAACAAATATGTTAGTTTTCATTTTTTCATTTATGTTGCAAGCTTAACTTATACGTAAATATGTTTTCATCAATCTCGTGAGGCAGGTTTTATTAATATATTCAAAATTAAACTTTCCTCAAACCTAAAAAACTACTATACACAGCAGTTCATGAATAACTAGACGTGATTGCAATAAATCTTCTACATACTGTCTAGAAAATGACTGACAGGAACATTAGTAGATATTTACTCTATTATCCTGGAAGCCAATATCAAATTACGAAAAATTCGATGGATGAAACTTTGTGACAGTTTTCTTAGTAGGTTATTCACTTTCCTCAATAATATCATTCATTTTTTATGTCACGCAACGAATATATTTGTTTCTTGTTCTTTAATTTCACTCATAATGATGTCTCTATCTTCTTTCCGAGAAGGAGAGAGAGAGAAAGAGACAAAGAGAGACGCAAAGATAGACAGAATGAGACAAGGAGACAGAGAGGGAGAGAATAAGTTTCAATTTTGAGTACCTATAACTGAAAGGTAATCGCTAACAACTATGTACTTTTATTAATTACCTAATTATTTAAATAAAATTAGATCAATTAATAAAGACTATGCTAAGGTATTAAGTCGTAGTGGAGGAAAATATATTCCCTGCAGTATTATTAGTAAAATACTCTGCAAAACTTACGCTTTGTCTCAACTGTAGAAATAAACACGTTTTAATATATGTCTCGCTTATCTGTGGATACACAATCATCTTTTTAATATCATGTTAATGTGGGTTAATCAGATACTAATGATTTCTGTTTATCAACAGTTCACTTACACCGTTCAAGTCAGGCTTTTGAAACATCATTTCATCATTCACGTAAGTTCAACTGTCGAATTAATCACGATATTTAACGCATATATTATGTACGTAATGTCCAGCACACACAATTAAATAGAAATCGCAAATATTTTTTGTTGTTTTTGTCAGAACATCAAACCATTATGTCAGAATGGACGCACAGAAGACTTGATTCGATGGTTGAACACGATATTTGCTGATATTTTTATAAACGTAATGCTCAGCAGCTCAATGTATTACATAGAAATCCCGATTATTTATGTATACATTAACATTGAAAGCACAAGTCCATAGAATTAGAAATATAATATATTCTACGTCATTAATGCATAACTCTCTTGAAACACATTTGAATCATTTAAGAATGACATTCACCCAAACGATATTACTACCTCTTACAGTAAAAATGCAAAACTATCGCGACAATTCCCGCATGAAATCAAAAACAAATAGAAAGATGAACTACTGCCTTTTATACATCTTTCGAAAGTCAATGGGATTATGCGCTCTACTTCTTGGATACACACTACAATTAACGACAGAACCGACTGATCACCACGCATTTATCGATCCTTCTTTAAGTGAGATGCTAGTTATCACAACCGTATTGGATAAAATTTCCAGATAATTACTGCCTCTTTCATCAGTGTACTGTGAAATGCGTAGAATTAAAAGCAGAACGCGCACTGCATCATCGATGCACGCAATCCGGGTGACGGGTCATCGCCCACAAGAGGGAAGGAATCGGGGAGCGGGGCGGGGCGGGGGAGGGAGACGATGCAAGGTGGTGGAGGGGCGGGGTGGGGGGAACGATGTCAAGGTGGGGAGGGGGGGAGGGGAGACGATGTAAGGTGGGAGGGGCGGGGGGAGGGAAGACGATTGCAAGGGGAGGGGCTGGGGAGGGGGGAGACGATGTCAAGGGGGAGGGGCGGGGGGGAGGAAGCAGCAAGGGATGGGGAGGGGCGGGGAGGGCTGGGTGGGGGAGCAAGGTGGGTGAGGGGAGCGGGGAGGGAGGGATACGATGCAAGAGGCGGGGAGGGGCGGGGAGGGGTGTGGGGAGTGGGTTTTGGTGGGGGGGAAATAGGTGGGGATGCGGAAAGGTTGGGGGAAAAAAAAAAAAGATCCGGGGGGGGAGGAAGTGGAAGTGGGGTGATGCGATGCAGGCGGGCGCGAGGCGCCGGAGCGAAAGGGTGAGGTGGGGCAAGGCGGAGTCCGTGATGCCAATGACGGGTGAAAATAGGGAGACAGCCAAGCAAAAAACGAGAAGGTAAGAAAGGATAGGAACAGCTGGAGAAGGAGTCAGGGATACGTTGAGAAACAAGGTGGCAGCGAAGATAGACGGAGTGTTCCGGGAAGTAACAAGGTAAGGTCGGAGAGAGGCGCAGTTACCCTTGATGAAGAATAGCGAGCGGGGAAGAGCGAGGTGAAGTCCAGGGAGAGAAGGGGGAAAACCCGAGAAGAAACCGCAGTGACCCGGGATAGCTAGGTGGCGGGCAGGCGGGCGAAGCGAAGAGGAGGGCAGCGCGCGGGGGCGGTGCGCCGGGCCGCCCCAATAAGCCGAAGCGGCATTATATCCGCGGCGCAGTGGAAAGGCGGGCGGCGAAGTGCAATTCAATCCTCTTTTACAGCCGCCGCGCGCCGGCCCTCCCGGGAAATTCGGGTGCGCCTCGGGGATGGCGCGCCGCCGCCGCCGAGGGCCCTTCCCTTCCGCCCTTTGTCCCTTCGCCCCCGGTATCGATCGCCAGGTGTCGCGCCCCGCACCTGAAGGTCTGCGCCCCGCGCCTCTGGCGCCGCCGCGCGGCCGCAACTGCGCTGCCGGCTCGGGATCAAGGAGGCACGGGGGATCGTGGTAGCGATGCCTGTGCGCCGGTTTTATTGGTTCTTCCTCATCGAAATTAGTTTTTAGTCTTTGTCGTAAATATTCCTCTTTGTGATGTTCGAATGTAGGCCTTTTGGCATACCGAGAATGGATGCACGACAGATTGTAAAAAAGATAATGAAAATGTGGTATGAAATGGAGCAAGAGTGAAATGAGAGGCCGAGGATATGGGAGGAAGTATTAAATAGACGTTTTAAATACAACGGAAAATCGAGAAAACCTGCAGCACAACGTCTTTCTTCACAGGGAATTGTCGCCATTCCACAGGGAATGAATCCAGCTCCAGTGATGGAAAGCCGTTACGGGACGTGGAGGGATCGGATGTCACCTTCTTCTGTTCATCACAAAGAGAGTGACCCATACATTAGGTACCCCTCCTCCATCTACTGACTCTGTGGTTGAAATCCCTGGTGGGGAGTTTGGAATTTCAGTTGGCCAACGTTGATTCGCAGTGTATCGTACTATCAGTGTTTCACGTGTTTTTTTTTATTTTATTTTTCTATTGCTGTATCATTAATTCCATGCCTCATAATCATATACTCGTCAACTCATGCATCCCTTCAAAGTATACGCCTTACAATAAGGGTATTAGTATCTCAAAAATGATAATAATTAAAAATTGACGAGAATTTAGTTAACGCGGGTCTATTCTTTTTAGAAGAGTGCAAAATGCCCTCTTTTAATCATATGATTATATTTATTATTTTGTTATTACTGTTCTTCTTCTTCTTCTTCTTCTTCTTCTTCTTCTTCTTCTTATTATTATTATTATTATTACCTCAAGCATTATTGAGTGGCCGATTCAAAAATGAGATCGGGCAGATATTACTATTGCTTCTTCTAATTTTTTGACGTAAAAGCCTTTACAAATCATACTCGCACAATCTAAATCTACTCCCTATTGATTTTTGGCATGCACCACCAAGGGTGTTTTTATTGCATGAGAGCCGTGGGAAGGAAACCTTGTGATACACTTCGGGAAACTCCTTGAAAGTGAGAAAAACCTACCTTTCAGATACGAAAACATTCTAGCCAACTCGCTTTCCACGAAGTAATAATGGCATGGACGACTTGGCGCGTTACAGTTACACATCATTTTCTTTCATAACTTTATACTACTGGTAACATCTTGTTGCTTTACAGTTACTCTGTGATATTACAATTTCCCTTTATATGCAAGTATCAAATTTAGTAAATTAAATTGATGATATCCGCATAAGTGTACTTACGTATCAAAAAATTGATAGTTATTTCACATGTTTTCAACAACTTAATAATCTGTAAAAATCGCCTTTTTTATCACATACATATTGCACTACTGTAACAAAAGTACAATAGACAGATACGAAAAAATACAGATTGTAATTTGCATGTATATGTTGCTAATTAAAAATATTGATATCAACTACTGTGTTGATTTATTTAAAACTGAATAAGCTGTTCACTATCTATCAATTTAATATCCTGTAAAACTATTAGAACATTAAACCTTTCAGTAGAACTGAAACAATATGTACAAAATAAGTACATTCTGGTATGCTTACAATACGTTCTTCAGTACCTTTAACCACCAAAGAACCTAAAGTATATTTTGATGTATTTCATTATTGACTAATATATACCAATATTTTGGTAATGTTCATTTACCATTACACATTTTTAAATTGCAGAAACAAATTGTACAAATAAAAATGTGAGAATATATTCGATCGTTACTATAAGCTACATGTTATATTTCCGAATGAATGGAATTTTTAATTTGAAGCGACTAATTTTTAGATACGGGATGTTAATGCACTAAAAACGTACTTTTTACGCGTCTAAAAAGGCACTATTTTTTTATTAATATGCACCGAAAAAGGCATTAAAACTGAAAGTATGATGGAAATAACATTAATATATTTCACTGCTCTTGCATCTAAGATATGGCACTTGCAAATAAAACAATATAACACGAGATAATAGCCTATTAATGAATCAATAGTGAGCGAGAGACTTCGGCATCTTCACGGGATTGAGCTCGGTTACTATACTTAGAGGTAGTAATGTAATACTTCGTGTGGAGCACAACTGTGGACAGAATGAAAACATACCTTCGCCCAACAGAGATGGGTTTTTTGGCAGTGATGGGATATTTGTATAAAAAAATGTAGAAAATGAAATTTGAAACCACAATGCGAGCTTTACGGTTCCAAAAATACGGTGACCTGCAAACGCAAATGGAAGTTTCTGCCGAGGCATACAATGGAGATTCGTAACTAGTAGAAACTTTATTTGATTAGTAGAACTTAAAATGATTTAAACTTGTGTTTGTACAAACACAAGTTTAAATGATTTTAAGTATCATATACATAAATGTGTCTAAAAAAGTATTTAAGCTACAAAAGACAAAAAAAAGCAAAATAAAAAATTGTCAGAGTGCTTAGTTTTCCATAATTTATATTAATTACCTTTAAATATTTTCATTAGAATGAAATAGGCATTTTCCGAAATATCCGCTGTGTACTTATTTCACCCACCTAGGACCCTATCGTATTTTATAAGATATTGAAGATGGGTATATTCGCATTCTATTTAATTTATCTTCAACCATATGATTTCCCACGCCCCTCAAAGGCGGCTTGAGGCAATCCGTCAACGCAGCGGCGGAGTGCAAACGATGGGCAATATCTGGGCGGGCGCGCGCGGGACGTGCCCTATCAGGCGCCAATTCTCCGCCTCCGCAGCCTCCGCGTGTCCCTTCGGGCGCACCGCCGCCGTCACATGTCATCCATTTCCGCGCCGAAAGTTTAACGGCCGCCGCGACATGGGCGCCGCAAGCGCCTCGCATCTGGCGCCGAAGCGCAGGGGCACCGCGTGCACCCGCGATGGCCCCGCCCCCCCCACCCCCCGCCCGTCTTCACGCCTACACTTTCTTTCACTTCTCCCTCTACATTCTCTTTCGCCTCCTCCTCCGTCCCCTGCAGCCTTCCTCTTCCTCCACCGCTCCGCTTCGCTCCCTGCACACACGTCCCCGTCTTCATCACCGCCTCCTGTGCTCCGCTGATCGGGTGGTCATTGGGCTCGAGTCCCCACAGTGGCCGGGTGTTCGACACTAGCTACATAAAATTCAGCTGCCATCTGCAGAAGAATTTTCACGGACGACTGCTCTGATATGTAATTTTCCGTGGTTTCTCCGTTCGAAATTTGGCAAATGCAGGAACAGTATCCTAACAAAACTTGAATCGGCGCTGAACCTGTTGAAGAACCTTATATCCAGAAAGGTCAAGTCCTAACCAAGTATTTGTAAGCGATGAAATTGTTAAGGATATTAATAAAACTAAATATCGTATATTCTTCAGCCACAGATAGCTTATGACTTTTCTTTTCCTCACTTCTTGCGCACACATACATTCACACACACACACACACACACACACACACACACACACACTCGCATTTACATCCTCTACAGAACTACATGTGGTGGGAGTCCTATCAGGAGCGTAGAGTTTGTCCCAGTGGACGGTGCCCTGCTGGTGGGAGATAATTGGTGGGGAAAACTCCGCTAGCCGATGTGTAGGTCGACACCTAACCTCACCACCAAACGAAGAAAAAGCACCGCCAACTCCCATGAAAAAGTACACCACACGTATGGGACAAATGGCTTGACGCACCCAGAACCCCGAAATAATAATTTCTACACGCTGCTACCGCCCCCGCACGATCTCCTGTGTCACTCCTGCCACCTATCTCGCAACCATCTTCGCCACCAACATCGACACCTCCGTTGGTCTGGCCTTCGCCCTGGCCTGCCGCATCCATCACTCCCGCCCCCGCCCACGTCTCCCAGGCCTCCTCCTCCCCACTGCCCCGCCGCTCACCCGTTCGTCGCGGTGAATGTCCTCCATAATCAATCGCCTTCTGGCCTGGGAGGCTCCGTCGACGCGGATTCTGTTTCCGCCTTTGCTTGGAGTTCCGCCCCACTCTTTGCGTCACCTGCTCCGCTGCCATGGCCGAGCCAACGCCCAGCTGTTCCTACTCTTCGCTTCCGATGCCATGGCTTTCTGCGCATAGCGATCGTTTAGCGACGAAAACATTAATTAGTATTACCATGAACGCTTAATAAAATATTATACAGGATAAAATCAAAAGTACGTTTGAAGGTGTAAAATATCTTAATTTAATATAATCTAATTTAAGTAGCTTTGGTAGTCGTTAAAAGTGATAGTCACTCTTTACGACCACCAAAGTTACTTAAATAATTTGACTCAGTCGGTTCACATTCAAATCCGCCAATAATTTACACATATCATGAAGTCGGTCTATGCTTCCCACATATGAGAAAGAACAACTTCTTTAAAACTACAGATGTGCGGGTCAAAATTAGAATGGAATATACACAACAAGAAAAAAGTTTACATTGCTCAATGTTAACACGTTTGAAAGAGGTTAATATTCATAAAATATTCCGTTTTGGAGTACATGACATATCTTTTAGTCTTTAATTAGTATAGTACACAAGATACCGGTACAAAGTATGCCATTTTTTTTATCAAATCCTCCACCTCAATTACCCTTTTTTATTTCAGTGTTGTCGTTATAAAAACAATTCTTCTTTTCTTGACAACATACCGCTAACAGTCTAGTTCTCTTGGTCTGTCGCACATCTTTTTGTTCTCTTATGATCAACCATTCATCATATTAACTTTTCTGTTCGCATGACGTGATCCTTGGGCAGTGAAAGTGACGGCGCGAAGAAAATTCGAAGCTAGACTGGTTTGTACTAATGGCCAGCGCACGGAATCACTATGAGAGACAAGATCACGTCCATTTCGGCGGAGTTCTTTCTTTTATATCCAACATATCAGAACAAGTACTGCCATTAGTAATGCCACCACTACACTCCTTGCCTAATATCAGATCATATCGTCATTTTCTGGAAATACTTTTTTTTTGGTTCTGAAGCAACAACATTTCACAATCACCGTCAGCAAATCATTTCCACCATCACCATCAATGTTGTTTCCCTCGCAACCTCTCTAAATCGTCTCCACAATTATCTCCCAACCCGTTTACGTCGATCGACATCCCGTATCCCCATTCCACTGGTATTACAATTGCCAGCCGGAGGCGCCGCCCGGCCACTTACTTCTCCATTACCATTCGTTACGTCCGCGCCGCCGGCGACACACGACATCGGCGACGACGGCGTCGGCGCCGGCTGCGACGCCGGGGGGCGGAACAGGCCGCGGCGACGGCCACGCAATTAACGCGAAGGATCAGCTCGTAAGCAGACAAGCGGCGATCAGCTGATCCTAGCAGAGCATTATCGCATCTCCTGGGTTAGACATGGCCTTTAATTATTTGTTCAACAGCCTAGGTTCTTGACATTTAATTTCCCTTAATACGTATACCACTGACATAAGTAAGTAGGTTTTAAGTAGATAAGGAGCGAGAAATGCAAACATTATTTTCAATATCAGTCCTGAACGTTACCAAAAATCAGTTATTTTATTCAAACATTAAATAAGTTCGCAAATTTTATTTTCTAATCAAATGATTTAGTAATTTTCAATACGAAACACTATGATTTGTCTACCGCTTAATATCGATGAAAAGAGTGTTCTACAAAATAAACACGCTAATTGACGAAACCAATAAAACTGATAATAGTATTTTAACGGTTCACATTCCCATCGCTACATTTTTTTTTCTTTTGACTATCTCTTCAGAGTACTAAAAAGTCGTCAGTTAAAAAGGAAGCATACAAATCCAATGCGATGCGGCAAGCAAAGACCACGATAGAACCATTATGACGGTTAAAGACCGCCCGTCGGGAAAATGGATTTTGGCCGTCTGATCGAGGGAAATTTCGCACTGTGCGGCAGTCTCAGCAGACCCTCGCGCGACTGGAGGTTTCTGGCCTCCTCTCCATCGCGCGCCGTGGCCGGGATAAAATGAGGAGGTCCGGCCCGGAGGGATCAATGTGTGAGTCTGGGCAAGGGATGGGTCGGAGGGGCGAGAGGAGACGGGCCCGGGCCATCCGTTACCGTAACGGCCTGGCCGCTTCTTTGGCTTGTGATTGCAAGCTGGAGCCCCTAATTGGGCCATCGCGCGGCCGAGGGCGTTATCGGGGCCTCTGGCGAATAAATTGAGCTTTTACGACGGTTTCAAACAAACCAACGCCTCGGCCAGCGCTTGCTGTGCCCCGCCGCACGATACAGTCAGGACGGACGCGCGCCCCCGCCGCCCCCCGCCCCGCCCGCGCCCCCCGAATGCCCCTTCTACGGCCCCACCGCTCGCCACACTCTCTCCTCCACGGACTCTCGCAGGAAACCAGCGCAACGAGGGACGGAGCTAACGACCCCCACCCCCCCCCCCAGACTGCGCCATTTCGTCAGCATTCCATAAATACGAGGACGAACACGAAACTATCTGGGGTTCAAATCCCTTCCCTGCCAATCCGCGTGGAACTTGACGCAAGGTTCTTCTGTTGCCACTCTTTCCAGCATTGCTCCATCCTCATTCATGTCATATCATCGTAGTGATCAATCCATGTAAGTTAATTGGTCTCTCCACTTTCATCGTAAGGTTAGGAACTCCGCTGCCGACTGAGGGCCCACCGCCCGCTGCACTCGACACCCCCTCTCCCACACGCGAGCGATAACCAGCCCAGCGGATGGGCACCGAACCCACTGGCGAACTGTCGTACATAGGGAGCGGTCAAGAAATGCGTCCATAAATGTGTAATTTTTCCCTCCTTTTCTCCATTCGTGTAACTGCGTAACAAAAATCTCTAATCACTCAAGGGTATGTACACATTAAGATTGTTCCTTCAGTTGAAACTTTTGAACAGTTGAAAATTTTTTGGCAAAAATGTGCTGTACTTCTAGTTTTTGCGAGTTAAACATTTGTCATTTATCTCGGAAACATTTTTATTTCATACGTTCGTACATTTTTTAACTCTTCCCTTCCTTTGAACAATTTCATAACAACGCAGCCAAGAAGTTCCGTCTTCAATAGCGTCCAAGATGTGTTTTAAATACCCGGTTATCCGTTCTTCTGCTCTTTCATAGGGTTATCCCAAGGAACTGCTTTAACGTAGTAGCTATGTTAACAGTTTTTGGATGAGGATGGTCTCTGAAACTGTAGATGTGTATACATTATACTAGCTGTAGCGTCAACATGATTTCTCTTCAAAAGGAGTGAGCCAGGATGTAGTGATCCGACTGCTAGCCTTCCCCCTCTGGGCGACTGGATTAAAATGCCGATCAAGCAATATGCAATATGTGTTAGAGAAAACGTTAGTTTTGTAGGGAATTTTCCCGTGTTCCTTACCTGCTCTTCAGTTGCTCCCGTATCATTTGTGTCGTAACATCATAGACACAAGGCCATCAATAATTTGTTTTCTCTAAGGCCAGAAACTGGTTTCATAATAAACTGCAGACAAAGACAATTAAACGTTTTTCTACCATAGTTTTGACAAAATGCCTTGCTAATGTAGAGGATTTTATCTCCACGTGTACACATATTGAGAAAGTTACTGTTCAGACTTCTCTTATGTTATGCACATACCTACTTAAATTATTTTTTCACATGCACGCGTCTATCATAACACGTCTTTACTGAACTGCTTGAGTCTTGATAGTAATATTCCAATCTTTCTGTACTCAGGTATCGTTCTAACTATTCACTTTATATTCGACTTAATTGATCATTCTGTTTATTGATAATTTCTTCACCTGCTACTAAAACATTCTCCCCTGTAACTTTACACACTATTCACTTGCTTCTTTTATGCACAACACTTCGACATTTTGCGACATTTTTATACTCTCCGACACCTTAACAAATATAGTTTCTTTGTATTTCTGTTTGAATAAATACGTTGCAGTAAACATTATTCCTCAAAGAAAACGAAAAGAATAATTAGGAGAGGAGAAAAATATTTTCATAAATAAAATTACTATAGAAACATCAATTTTCTTCTCTAATTAATATTCTAATTATTATATTTGTTGTCTCAAATTCCAGAATATTCAGAACTGTTCTAATATATCTGACACTTTATCTAATAATGTGGAATTTTTTAGTTTGTTTCGTAGTAACATATTCCATTATTCATTTTGGTACTCAAATAACTTTAATGTTTCAATGATCCGTTAATTAATGTAATGTTTTGGGTAATTTCTTTGCAGTGAGAATAAACAAATATATAACGATTTGTAGTGGGAAAATGTATTTGAATGCATTTACAGCTAAATTTTGCTGTTCAATAGACAGAAAATACATTTTCTCAGAAAAAAATACTTTCGCATATTTTCAACTATGATAATTAGAAATAGTGATTATTATGTTGAACACAAATGACTAAAATACGGGGTCATAATATAAAAAAAAATTGAGGTCGATGCACTTGTACTTTCTTTTTAACCGTCTTTTTAATTTTCAAATAATATTGTTCAATCACTGTGACACTGTAATTCTAGTTACCTGTCACATCAGATAATGTGGAAGGCTTAAAATTCCCTTCAGTGTTTATTCTCTCTCTTTCAACAGTGTGACATCCGAGTACAATTTTCAATTAGCCGCACTACTGTGTCCTAAATTCTCTCCCAAAATATCACAGGGACCTCGAGAGGCCCCGTCCTTCTCCCACTACATTGAAACAGGCAGTTTGATTGCAAAACAAAATTTCGCCGACAAGCAAAAAACCAACAAGCGACACATGAAAGTCCCGTGCTTAACGAGTCAAAACGCATATCGAGTTCGTGGTTTGTTCTGCAACACTCTCCCTCCCACTGCCACCGTGGTTTCTGTTTTGAACCGAGTATACATTCACAATGTTCTGCAGGAACATGCATCAAACATAGAAAACACACAGATGGACTTTGGATGTGGGGAAGCAGAAAGTTGGCAAGCGTGACGGAAAAAAATGTGGCGCATTATCTTTTAAGTGAGCAAAGCGGTTTAACCCAGTGCAGGGTATCGTAGCTGGAAATTATCATCGTCGGTTTTATACTTAATCGAAACCATTATTTTAAAAGTGAATAGGAGAACGTTTTGGTGACA